AGTATGAGCCGTGCACTGTGCACACATTTTCTCAATTAATTCTTACCAGTGCTTTGTAAGGAAGGCAGGCACTATTTCCATTTTGAAGATGAGGAAACAAGGTAAGAAGTGATTTGACTTAATCAAGGTTTGTACAGCTTGTCTTCATACCACTACTCGTGATCCAAAGGGGAAAAGCTCATTTGATGTGTTTCATTTTTGGTTTGGTTTTGTTTTTACTTCTACATGGATGGGAACAATTTCACTAAATCCATTTTAACAAGATATCTATATCCTTTAGAGAATTCTATGTTGTTAATCCCTTTGGTTTCACCATCATAAGTCTACCCGGCAGATAAATGATAATAATAAATATTCTCTTCCTTTTACAAACTCTCCCCTGGCCTTTCTTATCTGCTTCTGCTCTTCCTGCTATATCACTCAAAAGAATCTGGATATCTAGAGGTCTATTATTCAGGAGCAAAAGTCAATAATTATAAAATACTGGCCAGGTCACGAGGGATTCAGTTTTCAAATTTGGCTATATGGAACCAAGGGGTTGTAGGAGGTATTCCTTCATAATATCAATAAATGAAAAAGTGCCAGATAGGTTTCATTTGGAAAAGTAACCCCCACAACTCTTTCAATCATTATACCAAATTTGAGGCAAGAAAAATGTTTCCGTATTTTAAAATATCAAAATTTTAAAATTCATGCCCTAAAATATATAAGAAGTAGAGGGGAGGCAGGTGACAGCTTGTTGTATTTTTTAAAATGAGTTCCTCGTCTTTCTTCTTTTTGATCATGTATGGATTCAAATCCTTTTTTTTTTTTTAATCAAAAACTAAAAAGAACTCTGAATTTTCTCAGAATTCTTTAATTCTATTTTTCTTCTTGGGAAAAATATGTAGTCCTTGTTGTTGCTGGATGATAAGTGTCAATCATATCCAGCTGATTGATACTGCTGTTGAGTTCAAAGATGATCTTACTGATTTTCTGCTATATCTGTCCATTTCTGGCAGAAGTGTTGAAGTATCACCTCCTATAATAGTAGACTGATCAATTTGTTTTTGCAATTCTGTTGGCTGCTGCAGCACATATTTTGATGACCTGTTGTTAGGTGCACACATATTAAGGCATTATATCTTCTTGAAGAACTGACTCTTTCATCATTATATAATGCTCCTATTGGGACTTTTCTGGTGGCTCAGATGGTAAAGAATCTGCCTATAGTGTGGGAGACCTGGGTTCAATCCCTGAGTCAGGAAGATCACCTGGAGAAGGAGAGGCTATTCACTCCATTATTCTTGCCTGGATAATTCCACTGACAGAGGAGTCTGGGGGGCTATAGTCCAGGGAGCCGCACAGTCAGACACAACAGAATGACTAACACTTTCACCTTTAATGCTCCTATTTATTACCCTTGAAACTCTTCCTTGCTCCGTCTGCTCTGCTGAAACTAATATAGTTACTTCAGCTTTTTCTTAAATTAGTGTTAGCATGGTGTATCTTTTTCCATCTCTTTATGTCTAATCTATATGTATCTTCATATATAAAGAGCTTCTGTACACAATGTATCTTGACTTTTAATCCAATCTGACAGTCTCTGTCTTTTAGTGTATTTAAACCACTGATATTTAAAACAATTATTGATATACTTGGGTTAGTAGCTACCATATTTGTTACTGTTTCCTACTCATTGCTTTTGTTAAATAAGCAGGGTGACAGTATACAGCCTTGATGTACTCCTTTCCCAATTTTGAACTAGTCCATTGCTCCTTGTCTAGTTCTAACTGCTGCTTCTTGACCTGCATACAGGAGGCAGGTAAGGTGGTCTGGTATTCTCATTTTCTTAAGAACTTTTCAGTTTGTTGTGATCCACACTGTCAAAGGCTTTACGTAGTCAATGAAGCAGAAGTAGTTTTTCTGGAATTCTCTTGCGTTTTCTATGATCCAATGGATGTTGGCCATTTTATCTCTGGTTCCTCTGCCTTTTCTAAACCTAGCTTGAATATCTGGAAGTTCTTAGTTCACATACTGTTGAAGCCGAGCTTGGAGGATTTTGAGCGTTACTTTGCTAGCATGTGAAATGAGTACAACTGTGTAGTAGTTTGAACATTCTTTGGCATTGCCCTTCTTTGGGATTAGAATGAAAACTGACCTTTTCCAGTTCCGTGGCCACTGTTGAGTTTTCCAAATTTGCTGGCATACTGAGAGCAAGTACTTTAACAGCATCATCATTTAGGATCTGGAATAGCTCATCTGGAATTCCATCACCTCCACTAGCTTTGTTTGTAGTGATGTTTGCTAAGGCCCACTTGACTTCTCACTCCAGGATGTCCAGCTCTAAGCAGGTGATCACACCACAGTGCTTAACTGGGTCATTAAGGTCTTTTTTGTATAGCACAGTTCTAAATCTCTTGTTTCCTAATTCCAATATTCCTGGCAAATTTGAGTCTGATTCTGATGCTTGCTCTCTTTAAACTGTGTTTTTTGCTTTTTAGTCTGCCTTGTAGTTTTTGCTGAAAGTCAGACATCATGCACAGAATAAAAGGACTACAGCAAATAGGAATTTACTAATGTCGTAAGGTATGGCAGGAGTAGAAGTTAGGTATAGCCTTTCAGAGGAACTGTGCTGCTCAAGCTGTGAAATTCACAAGTTCTTTTCAGTCTTGTGCTCCCCTCCTAGGTGAAATAGGATGGCTACAAGGGGCTGCTGCTGCTGCTAAGTCACTTCAGTTGTGTCTGACTCTGTGCGACCCCATAGACAGCAGCCCACCAGGCTCCTCCGTCCCCAGGATTCTCCAGGCAAGAACACTGGAGTGGGTTGCCATTTCCTTCTCCAATGCATGGAAGTGAAAGTGAAGTTGCTCAGTCGTGTCCGATTCTTTGCGACCCCATGGACTGTATAGCCTACCAGGCTCCTCTGTCCATGGGATTTTCCAGGCAAGGCTACTGGAGTGGGTTGCCGTTTCCTTCTCCACTACAGGGGGCTAGAATTGGATATTTCTCTCCTTCCAACATGGAAGGCTAGAGTTGGGTATTTCCCTTCTTCTAGGTCAGTTAGTGTCTGATAACATTCTAATAGATTAGGCTCTGGTAAAACACCTTCTCTTGATAGCAGATCTTGTTAAGAAAAGGAAGATGCCTTGGCATATCTCAAAATGGTTATTTTCTCCTCCCCTTGGAGGAAGCACCAGGGGGTTTTTCTCAGATAGTCACTGTGAGGACCTGAAAGAGCTCCTAGAAGTAAAATCATGAAAACGTGGGGATTCCCTATGACCAGGGCCCCATCGAGTTCTCAGGTCAGGTTTGTCCACATGGAGCTTCCTGTAATTTGTCAATCACACTTTAGATTTTTCCTACACAGTAGTGGTTTCTTTTGAGGTTTCTGCTAAGCTGTCATTTTCTACCTGCCTGTCTCTTCAATTTGAGAGCAGTAGTTTGCCCTGCGACCTCACTTCTCTGACGGATCTAAGAAGACGTTCGATTTTTTAGTTTGTTCACTATTTTACTTGTTGTTAAGATGGAATAATTATTAAATATAATAATTATTATAAATTATATATAATTATTTAAACTATAGAAAAATAAAGCCAGTTTCTTATTCCTAACAGCATTACAGCATCTTCTAAACAAATTATAAGTTTTAAGATTTATCCTCTTGGGGGGAAAGAAAAGTCAGTAGAAAGCTAGGATTTGTATGTGAAATTTGACATTTGGATGCCAATTCCCAACATTTTCTATTGCCGTGAAATTAACCTTTACCAAAATTACTTTACTTAGAAAATCTTAGTTGTGTTATCTACTGTTCTTATAGCAAGAAGAACAGCTACTTTTTTTCCAAATCACACTGTATAACAGCTCATTACTTTTTATATTACTAACTTAAATTTTATTCAACTTGAGTTTTAACATACTTAACCAAAAGCAAGCTGATTATAACATGAACATATCTAATTCACCTTAAAACATCTGAAAGTATGTTGCAAATTAAGTCTCCAAACATAGCAAGTATATCAGAATGGCCAAACCCAAGGGAATATATTGGCATCATCTTTCCTTTGCATAAATGTAAATTTCATTTTGTTATTATTTCCACATCCCTCATACATTACAACAGATACTTCTGAGTCCTTTATACAGTAAACAGATGGTGAACCACTACAAAACTAGAAGCAAGCATAACATCTTAAGGAATTATTAAGAATCTTGCTCTTCATTCGGAGGATTACCACAGAGTTGGACAAATAATTTTCTTAGGAGGATCATGAGGAATTAGGGTAAGAAATATACTGGAAATGATAATAGAGATGGTCACAAAAAGAACTGAGAAAAGAGATCATAGTAATAAGTGAACAATAAAATAAACACTCCTAGAAAAAAGAAAATCTACACAAAAAAGAACTGTCCAAAGAGAATGAAGATAGATGCTTGTGAAAAAAAGAAAAGAATGCTCTGTAAGCTCCACTCAATTTGCTGAATGTGAAATATATTCCTGAGACCCCCACATTCCTGAAGCCCCAAAATAAAGTCAAATGTCTAAGTAAAACTGAGAGTTAGTACTTGACATAGTTTCTAACGAAAGTAATAACCAACAAAATAGATCCAATTATGTCAGTTTACAAGAGATAAAGAAATGAAAACATCAAAAGCAAGAAAACAAAAATATTAAGACTATCTAGTCATGTCAGTGGTTATACATGTAAAAACAGAAATTCAGGTGAGAATAGCTACATAAAAGGGAAAAGATAGCCCAGTAGATAGAGCACAGAATGTAGTCCTGCTCCAAAAAGCTGTCGAATGATTTTTAGAAAGTCATCGTATTATCTCTAGAGCTGAAATAATGTAGATTCAGTAGAATCTTTTGAGGGACAGTGATATGATATAAATAAATAACACAATGTTTTCTGCATGAGAAAACACTACTTAAAGAGAAAATGGTTTTTTAACTCTTTTAAAAAAGAAAAATTTGACTTATTTACAAAATTACTAAATGTTAAGTATGAAAAATGGCTTACCTTTTTTCCCCTAGAACGTAAGAAGATGATGAAATCACATATTTCCAATGGAAGATATTACTGCTTGAAACCAGGTCACTATAATTATCAACTGTTTAAAATGAGACAAAAGAAAAGGGTAACACTAATTATCTACAATTATACATTTCTTTGTTAACAAGAAACTTATATCACAGAAAACCTCAAGCCTTGAAGAGATATATGTCCCTAGGTTTGAACTCTCCAGGGAAAGCTTCTTTGAGCAAAGATTAGACAAATAGTTGAAAACTATTTAAATAATCACTGATCACTAAATGTAAATAGTTTTTTTAACTAAAAAGAAAAAAAATTTTTTTTTCAATATTTACTGTTATCACCCTACTTTCTTCCCAAAAAAAGAAAACATGAAGTTCAGCTAATACAAAAAGGCCCCACTATTTAAAAAAAAAAGAGGGTAATATTCAAACAGCTTCAAGGACAAAAATGTATGTTCTAGACCAGATCATATTTACAGTTCCTCATCTAGAATTCAACTAACATTCAACTGCAGCAATCAGCCAAGCTTGGCAAATTAAAATAACAGTAATTTTGACAGATTATCTTCTATAAATATTCAAATATGGATGTCTGTGTGCATGCAAGGGTCTCTATATGCCAATCAAAATGCTTTGTTTAGGATCCTAAGATTGAGCATTTTTTTACCCTTCATTTCCGTAGGGGTCCCCTGGATCCTTAACTTTCATTTTAACTCTTTCACCTCAACTCATAAAGCTGCCAAGTATTTCAATTTTGTGCCCTGAATTATATTACCTATAGCCTGAATTTAAAAATTTTGAGAGTAACATTCATACAAATATAAAGCACCAATAGACAAGAAGAAACAACCTAGGGTCTTAAAAAAATCTAGGTCTGTAAAGACAAAAACAAGAATTCAGGAATTGGGGGTAATGGGGATAACGAAAGTAGGGAGCATTGCTTGACAGTTAGCAACTGAGTAAAAGATTAACTTTTTATTCAGGTAATCAGGTATGCCTTGGTAAAGTAAAATTCAAATATAAACAGCAATTAACAACTTCATAAATTTGGGCTGTATGCAAAGTTCAATTATGATAGACTACTATTTATCTGGCTCAAGGAAGACCTTATACTTTAAGTATACCAAAGTGTCAAAATTGGGAAAATGTATTTAGTGTGAAATTGAAACCAAAATTTTTAAATGCATGGATAGCCCTATATTTAATCAAGAATAATGGCTTTAAAGAACACAAGCTACCTGATATATGAATTTTCTAAGTGTCCTCTCCTGTCTCCCATTAGTTTAGTTTCCCTTAAACATGGACACAGTTACTGAAAAGCCTCAGATATTCCAGGAAAACTACAAGTGATAGGCATGCTTCTACATCTAGAGGAGCAACAAAATTATGGAAGAAAAGTCAACCTACTTGGAGGTGCTGCCCTTCTACGCCCACTTGGAAAGAGACAGCTATAAAGACCTCTAATAAAATTGCTCAAAACATCTCTGGAAAACAGGCTTGAATGAAACTCTACTTCATGATCCACTCACCATTCAACCACCCAAAACCAGGTCCAACAGTGGATCCAAGCCAGACCAACAGTTCTCAATGCAGTGAAAGTGAAAGTCACTCCATCATGTCTGTGACCCAGTGGACTGTAAGTCCAGGGAATACTCCAGGCCAGACTACTGGGGTGGGTAGCCGTTCCCTTCTCCAGGGGATCTTCCCAACCCAGGGATCAAACCCAGGTCTCCCGCATTGCAGGTGGATTCTTTACCAGCTGAGCCACCAGGGAAGAGAAGACAGAAAAAAGTCTGGTCCAGGGACCAGTAGCTTCAGGCTCCACTGGGAGTTTGTTAGAAATTCAGAATCTCAGGCCCTAGCCAATGACATATTGGATCAGAATCTGCATTTTAACAAGATCTCCAAATAATTCGTATACATATTACAATTTGAAGAGCTCTGCTGGAAGAAGATTAGAATGAGAGAGAAAGTACAATTCCTCTGTTTAAAGATTGGTTCCCACTATAGACCACAGTTTGGCCAATAAGCAATGAATTTTAACCTCTGGTTTATCATTACTCCTACAATTTTTATATTTTTAATAAGGGATCTTGAAATACAGAAGCCCCTTCTAAGTCAAAGTAATGAGTAATCATTAATTCTCAGGTCCCAAGAAAGGCTATGACGTTATCAAATCATATTAGCTATACAACTAATTTAAAAATAGTAATAACTCCTTTCCTTTTAAATCCTAGACACCAAGAACATGCAGGGTTACCGTCGCTAAGAGGGAGACCAAGAGACCAAAAGTCTATGCTATCTTATAACCAGAAGAGAAAGCTATACATACTGGTTATTCAGCTATGGTCTCTCAGCAACAAATCCACCCTTTAACACTCAGCTCAGTAATGCTGATAATATTAATAGAACTGTGGAAACTACTTTTCTGTTTTGCCAGCTAGCTTCCTCATGCCGTCAACAAGGAGAAGCTTGGTTTTTCCACTCAGCATTAATGGAGCACAAGCCCTCCATCCCAACAGCAGCAGGTGGTGAGAGCCACGAGTTTTTTCTGACACTCTAAGAAGTACCAGCAATAGTGAGACAGTACCCCATCTAGAAGTTTTGAGCAGAAACTCTACTCTAAGCTCTTCTTCATCCCCCTGTCCTCTGGATGACTGATGCTTTCTGCAATTATTGTCTCTGCGTTACTCCAGTATTCCACTTTGGCCTTTTCAGCCTCTAATACCTGTATAACCTACTCCCCGTATTAAATTTTATGGCAGAAATATAGTGTAGATTGCTTCCCTGTCTAGATTCTAACTGATATGTAAATGGAATAAAATTTTAGCATGATTTGATCAATCTGGAAAACTACTTTCCCAAAACATGATAATCCATGAGAAAATATGCACTGACTCTGTTCAAATATGTACAAGGGAAATGGCAGCAAAAAGTACAACTGAGAAAGAAAAAAGAGGGAATATAACCTAAGAAAGTAATGTACTAAAACAAACATCATGGTAGAAAACACATTTTGACTCCCCAAAGCATAAAGAAAAGGTCAATAAAAAGTCTGAAAGAAAAATGTTTTCCACTTTAATAAAAATCACAGAATTTAAGAAGTAGAAGGAACTTTATTATACTGCCTCTGCCACTGTTCAGTTTTGTTAATTTTATATTGAACTTCGATTACTATACTTTCAAGAAGCTGTTGAGAAATTTGACAGAATCCATAGATCACAAAACTTATGAGAGCACTAGGAAATAAAAGTCATGAAGAAGGGCTCAAGGAGTCACTTTTCAGTCCAGGATATTGTGAAGAAGACTTCAAGCCAACATTATTAGCTGCCTCCCAGTTAAAGAGTTCTGACCAGTTTACACTTGACTATCCTTCAAATCCTTGAAATGATGGAAGATAACAGTAAATGAAGACATAAAATGGAGTTACCCAGCTTAATGACCTTCCTTCACATTAATAAAGTAGCAGCTCTTAATGCTATCCAAATGAGAATGACTTAGATTATTTTTTTAAAAATAATGATGATGATAAATGTCCAGAACAACCAGACATCTGACTTAACTGGTCTGAGGTAGAGTCTAGGCATGTTAAAAACAACACCAACAACACACATCCAAGTGTTTATAATGTACTGACAAAGGGATTATTTGGACAGAACCGCTAGTGGGACATTCTATGACTTTAACACTCAAGATATGATCTAAAGACTAGCTACATCCAGAGCTGGCTTAAAACTGAACGTTCAAAAACTAAGATCATGGCATCCGGTCCCATCACTTCATGGCAAATAGATGGGGAAAAAATGGAAACAGTGACAGACTTTATTTTCTTGGGCTCCAGAATCATTGTGGACAGTGACTGCAGCCATGAAATTAAAAGATGCTGGCTCCTTGGAAAAAAAGGTAGACAACTTAGACAACGTATTTAAAAGCAGAGACATTACTTTGCCAACAAAGGTCTGTACAGTCAAGGCTATGGCTTTTTCCAGTAGTCAGGCATGGATGTGAGAGTAGGACCATAAAGAAGGCCAAAGAATTGATGCTTTTGAACTGCGGTGTTGGAGAACACTTTTGAGAGCCCCTTGGACTGCAAGGAGATCCAACCAGTGCATTCTAAAGGAAATCAGTCCTGAATATTCATTGGAAGGACTGATGCTGAAGCTTCAGTACTTTGGTTACCTGATGCGAAGAACTGACTCATTGGAAAAGACCCTGATGCTGGAAAAGATTGAAGGCAGAAGAAGGGGACAACAGAGGATGAGATGGCTGGATGGCATCACTGACTCAATGGACATGAATCTGAACAAGCTCCAGGAGCTGGTAAAAACAGGGAAGCCTGACGTTCTGCAGTCCATGGAGTTGCAGAGTCAGACACAACTGAGCGACTGAACTGAACTGACCAAAACATGTTGAAATAATTCAGAAGGAAATGTACTTATTGGAAATAAAAATACTATAAGAAAGAAGGAAAAAATCAGTGTGCTTTACTCTGGTTTAAAAAGAAAAATTGTTACAATAGTAATATAATCATATCAACCCTGTTAAGTAAGGGTCTGTAGCCCACACTTAAAACAGAAAGGAATATGACACAAAAGCAGTAACTCAGATTACCTGTAACATCAGCGTTGTCAATATTCTAGGGTGAATGATAAATATACCAATACTGCAGATAGGGTTCCTATGAATGAAAAATTTCTGGAAAGAACCACTTTACTATCTACCTTTGGGAAATAATAAAGCCCTATGTTAGGAGACATATTTTCCTGGATGTCTCCTTAATTCACTCTATACTCTTCCTATGACCACCACCATCACCCTCTGAAAAGGACAAAAGGTTATGATTTTTTTTTTACAATGAAGTGGCATGATGCATAATTTAGTCTGATTTTTCTCTTCTTCTGTACCCCACAACTACTAACTTCCAAAAAGTTCACTCTGCTTCTGTCATTACAGAATCAAAATCTTCAGCCCCAGAAAGACCCAGATGATTCTTTTGAAAATGCTGAAGACAATTTTAAAGAAGAGGTCAGATAAAAAGCTATCAATAAAAGACCTATTAGAAAATTTTAATAATTCA